CTGACGTCCTTCCCATTGCTCCCGTCAGCCCTGCAGAGCCTCACTGAGGACTGTGTAGCTTGGAGCTGAGCTGTGGGAGGAGAGAGGGGTGAGGAACCACACTAGGTTTCTTTCACTATCACAAAACTCCAAAATGGTTAACTTGACTTTCAAGTAAAGTGCATTGAGGTTTTTTGAAGTCTTAGGACAATCACTGACCAGCTCCAAACTGTGACATTACAGATTTATAACATGGATGTCATGTCAAATATGTGTCAGATCAGGACACAAAGATAAGGTCTTCCTCTTGCCCCTTCCCTGCTCACAGCCATGCACTATTATATTGTGGGGACTTGGCTCCTACTCAACACGTGCCAAAGATCTACCTTGATCTCCTGATACCTTCAACAGAACTTAAGATGTTGCCCAGATGTGTATAGTGTGCTTATTTCTGGGCTATCCGCAAAACACTTAAACCATTATGAATAAGGGGAGGAGGATCACTGTACAACTCCAGGTTGAAGCTTAAGTCTTTAATAATCACTGCTCTTGATTTCTTGCCCATTTAACTACACACTGCTTTGCAGTAGATGCAAGTGCTAAGTGCATGCAAAGGAAGAAGAACCTGGAGACCTGGCTATAGCAGCCCAGACCTAGTCACTGCTGCGTCAACACAAAGCCTTTCCTTACACTGACAGAGTGAGGGCATCAGAGTGGGGATCCTCTGTAACAGTTCTTTAGCCCATTTAATGGTGTGTGATTGAATAAAGGTTGCCCAAAGGTTTTGTGCGATCCTGGAAAGCACATATAGAAGTAACTTTCAGTGGAAGTCAAATGCCTAACTGGATTTCAGCTTCAATCTGAAGTAATGACTACTGGAAACTGCATTTACAGAAGAATAATTAACTGCTACCCCTCCAAAGCAGTCACCTTGCACTAATTACATGCCAGGAATGCTTCTTGTAAGGCCTAATCAAAGCATTCTACTGTCTCTTGATGTAGCTTTTGAAGCCCAGTGTATCGGAATAACCAGAAGTTTCTTGTTTCACTGAAGAATGTTAAAATAAATGTAATGTATTAATTAATCCTTGGTATTATCTCCCTGTCTTCATTAACAAACAGGAGACTGGTGTTCACTGGGTCACCACAGTGGCCCATTCGTTGGTCCAGTGTCCTGTTCTTTGTGGTCATAGGAGGCTTTTAAAAAAAACTCACATTAAGTCCTTGTCAACAGGTATGAGCTAGTCTGCCCATGGGAGTAATTTCTGTGAAAATCTGTGTATTTAGTAATTCATCTATAAACTAATTATTATATTGGCTTATGGATCAGTGGATGGAAGACCCTGCCACAAATTTCATTCTTTAATATTTATCTTTTTGACTCCCAGTTCTTACAAATATAGTTCTTTTATTGAAACATCTTCAAGAAAAGTAAAACGTCATAGTTGTACTAAAATATGGGAAAAAGAACCTCCTTTTTGCATGGGCACACTATTTCACCCAATTTGGTTGGCTTATAAATTTGTTTCTGGCTGTGTATAAAGTCGTGTTTATTTAATATTTAAAATGCTATAGAAAGGCAATGCAGATTTTTTGAAACAGAAAGAAAAAATAGTCAGTATACATGTATGTACATTCATAAATTGCAAAAATATGTCCAAGTGATGTACTGAGCTATCCTTAGCTAATGCAAATTTTTAGTAAAAATAATGGTCTGCCCTGAATGAGTAATGTGTATTTTAGAGTCTAGACAAATTGTAAATATAAATTCATCCTGGCATAATAAATTCCTATTCAACCTATCTCTTGGAAAATTTATGTGGTGGTTACTCTTCTGTTTTTCCTGGTGATTATGGTTACCACAGCACCTCCTGACTCTCTAAAGCATTGTAAAAAGAAAACACCTGACTGCACGAAATAGCCAGGAGCAGAGATCACAGTCAGTTAGGTAGACACAACCTGACCTACTGGGAAGTTAAACCCTCTGTTATTTGCCTTCTAAGACATTGGAAATGGTAATTACTCATTTTAGCAGTCTTCCACAGCCTGTCTGCTTTGTAACAAACATGTTACATTAGCTTGGCCTGGTCTTTTTAAAAGTTAAAAATCTTCTAAATCTCTCTTCAATACGATGGACATTAGGACCTCTGTATCGGGGGGGGTGATACCTGGTTAATTTAATTCCCTTAAAAGGGTTAAGCCAGTCTAAATCGTTTATGCTTTGAATACTTTATTGAAAGATTGCTGCAGCAGAGCTGAGAAGAGAATTCAGATTTCTTCATCTTGTGGCCCATGGCTATCATCCCATGGCCACATCTCCTTTTTTATCTTCAGGCTTTGAAGTACAAAAACTCATGCACACTGACAGTGAGGTTTTGAATGCTGGCAGAACTAAAAGATTTAATACAGGTGGAAACAACTTTATGTCTGCTCTTGTGACAAGCTGGGTATGAAATCATGAGATACTCCAAAAAATGCACTAAGGGGTCGTGGCATGCTTCCCTAGCCATCTTGTATGATTCTATGACTTATGTGTAGTGTAAATCACTACATAATCTCAATGCTTACAAAATATTTCTGGGATAGGGAACTACAGTCTGCATTTCATAAATAGTGAAGTAAAGAAAAGAGAAGATAAATGACTGCCCAGAGTTTGACAAAGTCTATGTTTTAATTGAGTAAGAAAGACAAAATAATCGGAGCAAATCTTCTCCTACTAGCTAAAAATTGAGTAGAATTCCTCACCCTCTCCTACTAAAAACCATCCATAAACCTGTTGTGACTTAACAGGCACAAAACATGATTTTCGTTCCATTCCTTTGGATAATTTGCAAGTGATGGTTTGGGGATTGTTTGATATGTATATGATTCTCCTAATGTTTACATTATAACACTTCCCAAGGTTCAATGAACATTTTGCTACTTTTCTTAGCCAGCTCATTAATTTGAGACACTTTACATAACCTGCCCTTTTGGGAAATGCCAGTGAGTAAAGTTTTTGCCTCCTTATTTTATCTGCTTCATGTGATTTTTGCTGGAAAGCTATACAAACAAGGAATTTATATTATACTGCCCAAGCTGTATCTTGTTGCTATATCCATCTGATATTTGCCATGTGACATCTTGCTGCCTGCCTGCTGACAGGATTCTCAAAAGCTTTCAAAGGAGCTAAGGGAAAGCCTTTAAAATGTATTTGCCTCTGTAAAGAGAAAGATCAAGCCATGTAAGTATTTCAGCTGCAAAGTCAGCCAAAGCCTTTTATCAGTTAAAGACTTTATGAAAAAAACATACTCAAAAAGCTTTTTGTTGCTCTTTTAAATCTAAGCTTCCAGTATGTTTTCTTATCTATATCCAGGTTCTACTCTGTGACAAATGTTAACCCATCAATAGAAAGAACTCTTTCTTCTAGTGGGAAAAAGTAGTTGAGTAGGTTGTCTACCACCTGTTTGATTGCATGAAATGCATAAAAATATGACCCTTCACAGCACATATTCTGTGACTTTTGTGCCCAGCTTTTTGTCAGGCTTTTCCTGTACAGTGAGAATGATCTCTCAGATGGCTGCTCTGACAGCTTCATTACCTCTTCTTAGCTAATAACTGCAGCATTTGACAGTTCTACCTATTCTTCAGGTATGCCTATCTACCAGGAGAAAAATCATGTTATTCTCACTTTTCTATGTATTTTTCAGGTCCATATATTCTCTGTTAAAGAGAAAATGATGTAATAATAAGAATAAATACAAATAAAATATTCTACAAATTTAAAAAACCTTTACAAATAAGACAAAAGAAAAAAATAGATGTACAACATCTATCTTTTTTTCTGAGAAATCTAATTTATTCATCGAGAATATCTCACCTTATCAGGATACTTCCTGGCAAATCCAGATAAATGGAGTTATGGTAAAACAAAACCACTTATGTAGATATGTGGTAGATATGAGGAAGTCCAAAGCTGTACAAATGTGTATGGTTCTAAAAGGAGTTTTTGACTCTGGATCATTCATACCATTGGCCTTCTTGGCCACAAGGGCACATTGTTAGCTCATGTTCAACTTGGTCTACACCCAATCTCCTTTTCTGTCAAGCTTCTTTCCAGCTGGGTGGTCTCCACCAGATTTTATTGCATAGAACCATGAAATCATAGAATTGTTTAGGTTAGAAAAGACCTCTAAGAGCATCGAGTCCACCTGTTAACCCAGCACTGCCAAGTCCCCCAGATACCTCCAGGGATGGTGATTCCACCACCTCCCTGTCTCCTTCACCCCATCCCTTGATCACTTTATAATAAAACTTCCAGTAGTTTTAATTCCCCAGAAGTCCAACAGATTGACTAGCATTCCTTCTGCTTACTTCAGAAAATTTTTTTGGCAAAAACTCTAAAATCTTGTGAATTCTACTGTGAAATTACATTTAATTTCATTCTATTTCCCACAAAATCATGGAGTTGTTCCTCCCCAGGAGCAGGACTTTGCACTTCCCCTTGTTGAATTTCATGAAGTTCCTGTCAGCTTATTTCCCTGTGGCCTTGTTAAACCCTACTGTAATGGGGATATCCCAAAGACCAAGTGACAGCATGAACACAAGTACCATGCCACCAGACAGGATGGCTTTTTCTGCTCTCTACTATATATGATTGCTTCATTTATTTTATTTCCTGCTCAACATCTACACCAAGTATTCATCTCATGTAATGAATCAGTGAACTGGCATCAAGAATTGAGGAGTTAATATTTAACCCTGAAGGAGGCCACAGCTTCTTTTCCTTCCCTGGGTGGGGAATACAGAAGGCACTCAGTTTCTACCCTGTGTTCTCAGTACTCACATTACATTTATTGGAACATGCAGGTATTTCAACAATGTTTAGAAATACTTCACTTTTATGGTGTAGAGCCATATGACACAGCCTATCTTCCCCCAAGCAGCTTTCTTCTTATACTTGTTTTCTAAAATCAGCCTGAAGTCTTTTTACCATTCTCAGGTACAGAGTGGCACTGGAATTGTAAGAAGGGGGCACTTACTCAGTATTGTGTGTATCAATGGTGTGAAAAAGTTCACTCAGTTCTTCTCCACTCAGAACTCCATCAGCAAAGTAAGCTTGGAATTCATCAAAGGACAGTTTTCCATCATCTGAAACAACAGAGAGACAGAAGTGCCTTTGCTTCATTCATGGTTTTGCTTGTTTACTTCATGCAGTAGAGTGTAAAGTATTAAAAAACTCTAGGTCTTCATCTTAAATGTATAAACTTTACATATTTGACAAAGACACATAAAGAACATGATGCTAAATGTATCAGCTTGTATCAGTTCTCAGTTCGCCTGGTAACTGTTACTCTTCCTCCTTTTATATTTCAAGAAAGATAGTTTGGTTTTGGTAAGTTTCTACTGACAAACACATCAATACAGTCCTTTCTTTGCCCTGATTCCATTCACTGTGGTT